TTTCAAGGTCACAGGTGTCAAATGTCTTAAAATCTTCAAACAACTTCTTCTCAATAACCAAAAGGCCCAGGGTACTGATATTTGGCCTGTAGCAATCAGGGCTACCAAATTTGTTCAAATGAATGACCTTGACCCACTTTCAACCTAATGTCATTGTTTGACATTCAAGGTCACACTGATATTCTGCCTGTAGCTGTATTTTTGTCCACTTTTAAGTTTACAAGTGTGAGATTAATACCAGGTGAGCGATGCAGGCCCATTGGGCCTCTTGTTTGATATGCTAATTATCCAAGATTTGTATTGAGGTTTGATGTTTGACATATTCCAACCCCTTTTTAATGAGGCTGCTGCATTCTGATTGGTTGATTGCCTTCTGCTCAATATCTTGTGACAGAATGGTCATATGTGGATTACGTTTGCTTGGTATAGTAGTTATCTACCATTCTCACTGCGTTTTTATGTTCAATATATTCCATTCATATTAAATGAGGCTTCTGTATTCTGATTGGTTGATTGTTTTCCACACAATATTTTATGACTGGATTTTGACTTGCTTGGTATATCATTTACTCAAGTCTCATCTGTTACTTCTGATCGGCTGATACATATATGGCTATTTTGTTTCTTTTACAGATATGATTCTGTTCATAATAGGTGGCATATAATACTTATATAATACTTGATGGATATTGCCACATTTCCCTGATACATAAGACCAAGGTGGTCACCATTTCTTGCTTCTGATTGGCTGACACACATATGAATGTTCCTTTTGATTTATTAGCTCACCTGGTCCAAAGGACCAAGGTGAGCTTATGCCATAACGTGGTGTCCGGCGTCCGTCCGGCGTCCGTACGTCCGTACGTCAACAATTTCTTTAAACGACTTCTTCTTCTTAACCACTGTTTGGAATTAAACTAAATTTGACTGGAAGCATCCCTAGGTGGTGGGGATTCTAAATTGTACAAATAACGGGGCTGACCCCCCAGGGGGCTGAGGGGCGGGGCCAAAAGGGGGCAATTTGCTCATATTGCTTTAAGCGACTTCTTCTCTGGAACTAAGAAGTGGATATCAACCATATTTGACTGGAAGCATCCCTAGGTGGTGGTGATTAACAATTGTACAAATGGTGGGGCTGATTCCCCAGGGGGCTTAGGGGCAGGGCCAAAAGGGGGCAATTTGCTCATATTGCTTTAAGCGACTTCTTCTCAGGAACTAAGAAGTGGATATCAACCATATTTGACTGGAAGCATCCCTAGATGATGGTGATTAAAAATTGTACAAATGGTGGGGCTGACTCCCCAGGGGGCTTAGGGGTGGGGCCAAAAGAGGTCAATTTGGCTATATTGCTACAAACGACTTCTTCTGTAGAACTGTGCACTGGATATCAATCATATTTGATCAAAAGCATTCCTTGGAGGCAGGAATTTAAAATTGTACAAATGGTGTGGCTAACCCCCCAGGGGGCTGAGGGGCAGGACCAAAAAGGGTATTTGGCTATACTGCTTTAAGCGACTTCTTCTCTTGAACTAAGAAGTGGATATCAACCACATTTGACTGGAAGCATCCCTAGGTGGTAGTGATTAAAAACTGTACAAATGGTGGGACTGACTCCCCAGGGGGCTAAGGGGCGGGGCCAAAAGTGGGCAATTTGGCTATATTGCTACAAATGACTTCTTCTGTAGAACTGTGCCATGGATGTTGATCATATTTGGTCGGAAGTATTCATGGGAGGCAGGGATTCAAAATTGTACAAACCGGGCTAAGGGGTGGGGCCAATACAATTTATTACTTGGAAATGGTTGAGATCCCCACCATATAACCATATATACAATTGCTGAGTATAAAGAGAAGAATGCACATTTGCTTCCAGGATGTCCCTAGGGTCTGGCCCCACCCTTGGAGACATAGTCCCTGGGCCATAACTTTAAAACGGTTGAGTTCCTCACCCCAAAACTATATATACAAATGCTGGGCATAAAGAGACGAATGCAATCATGATATCAGAATAGACCCTGGGGTCTGACCGAACCGCTAGGGACCTAGTTTCTGAGTCACTGCTTGGAAACAGTTGAGAGCCCCACCCTATAACCGTATATATATAATTGCTGAGTATAAAGAGATGATTGCACAAATGCTTCCAGGTTGGCCTTGGGGACTGCCCCACCCTTGGAGACTTAACCCCTGGGTCATAACTTTGAAATGGTCAATATCCCCACCCCAAAACTATATATACAATTGTTGGGCATAAAGAGACGAATGCAGTCATGATATTAGAATTGATCCCAGGGTCTGCCCCACCCTTGCAGACTTGGCCCCTGGGTCATAACTTTGAAACGGTTGAGATCCCCACCCCAAAACTATATATACAAATGCTTGGCAAAAAGAGACAAATGCATTCACGATATTAGAATCGATCCTGGAGTCTGGCAACAACTCTAGGGACCTAGTTTCTGAGTCAAAGCTTGGAAACAGTTGAGATCCCCACCTCATAACCATACATAAAATTGCTGGGCATGAAAAATCTAATATAGCTATGCTACAGTATTGGCCTTGGGGTCTGGCATATTCCCTTGATCTCATTTGGAGAATAGTTTGCCATGATTGCTTAGGTATCCAGGTGAGCGATACAGGCCCTCTGGGCCTCTTGTTGATATGATTTTGTTCATAATAGGTGATAATTAGTACTTAGTGGATAATGAACTTGGTGAAAGAAAACTTATTAACTTGATCCCATAAAACAAGATGGCTGCATGGCCTTTGACTTGCTAAGATCTTGCAGATCAAAAGTTTTGTTCTTCCTGTCTAATTAAGTTCATACTTCATGGTAACTGGTGTTTGTCAGAATACAAATTTTAATATTCATAACTCTTTATTACCCTTACTTCAAAATTGAAAATGATTGCTGTGGCCTTTGCTCAGTGAATATGGGAAAATGTATGGTCAGACACATGGTGGGGCCCTTGCTGATCTGTCAGTGTTCTAGAAAATACAGTAAAACCTTGTCATACTGCCACCATTGTCCATCATTAAGGGGTTCGGCAATAAAGGGGGGGAAATGTATTAAGGAATTCTTCAGAAAACATTGAAATATGTTGGCAGTAAGCAAGATGGCCAATGAAACAAGGGGCATTATATCAGGGTTTACTGTATATAAACAAGGGGCATTATATCAGGGTTTTACTGTATATAAACAATGGCATTATATCAGGGTTTTACTGTATATACACAAGGGGCATTATATCAGGGTTTTACTGTATATAAATGAGGGGCATTATATCAGGGTTTTACTGTATATAACGAGGGGCATTATATCAGGGTTTTACTGTATATAAACGAGGGGCATTATATCAGGGTTTTACTGTGTGTCATTTATATATAACTACTGGTTCTAATGGGATGAATTGTTAGAAAACCATGAATATGTAAAATGAAGATGAATTAAAAAAGGGGCAGTTTAACTTTTAATTATGTAATGTCTCCAGATAATTACTTTCGCTATTGAGCATCAATTGTGTTGTATTGACACTATGAAGACCACAATGCTTTTTTTTTTACTAGTGTGGATTTTTCAAGAGGAAGCGCCCACAGAAGCCAGAGGCCGTTGGACTCATGGAAAAAGAGTGTGAGCCAGTGCCTGTGGTAGAGGCAGATTTAGCAGAGCCTGTCAATAAGGAACCTCCATTTGTTGAGGAGCCTGTCCATGAAGAAATTCCACTTGTTGAGGAGCCTGCTAATGAAACAGTATCCAGTGAAAGAGAGCCTCTTGCAGAAACGATAGATGAAACGAAAAAGCTTGTTGACAACAGTGGTCCAGACGAAGTAACGGGAGATAGCAATAAAGTGTGAAGATCAAAGCATCAATATTTAACAACTGCAGTTCTTACTTGGGTGAATATAGCAAAACAGGATTAGTTATTTAAGGCAGCATGCCCCGAAAGGGTCTTCCCCTTCTGTGTTTGGTAAAATGTACAGTGATACTTTGGCAGTGCTGCCACCTACTGGAAATCAGTGCAAACTAGGCCAACTTCATAAGAACAGACAGTTGGTGTGAATAATAACAAACTGTATGTGATTGAAAGATGGAATGTTATGCTGAGAACAACTTATGTAGCTGTAGTTATTAATTTTAATGTCAATAGATTTTATGTAAATAATACATGTTTCCTGTCAAAGCCTGTCCTATCATCATAAATGCAGTGAATGTTTTGCAAAGGGAGGTGTTAATTATGCCATGAATATAAAAAATCAATTTAAATTATGAATTAGTAATAAATCTATACATGTGTATAAAGCGCAATCTTCGTGGAAGCCTTCACTAGAGCTAGATAGACACTTCCTTAGACCACACTTACATTCCAACGAATGTGCACACTTTTTATTATAGCTTTGTAAAGGGATCATGAACATTTCACGCTTCATTGGTTTTTGTTATAAAATAGGGTGAGATTTGAACACTAAGGGACGGTGATGACCAGTATACAGCTAACATTTTCTGACCACCACCTCTCAAGGGACAATCAACGTGTCAGTGTTACATATATTGAAGATTTTTTTTATATTCATATATACATGTATATGCATGTTTGATAATATTTATACTTTTTAATTGTATTGTTGAATGCTATATATATATACTGTCTGCATTGTAAGTAATTTTATCAACTATAGGGGGCGCTCAATGTATGATATTGGAGAGTTCCAACCATATATGATCATCTTTTTTGAGAATGTAGACAACAAACTCAAGTCTTTTCACAGAAAGGACACATAAAAATCCTCAAGTCTTCGGTAGCTACTTACTAAAATGTGCTCATATGTTTCCGTTTAGCTCAATAATGAATATGTATCCTCTTCGCTCATGTTAACTAGTTGCTAGGTTCATTGACATAGTACAATTAGACTCTTACCCGTTTAAATTAAAGCACACAGTATTGTTTTGTTTGCTTTGAATTTTATATTCCCTCTTATATATTAGTGTATTTCATTCTAGACATGTTTGTTATATATGTATGTTTCTGTGAGGGAGCATTGATGTTATTTGGAATGTAGTATACACAGTGTATTTAATGTTACCATATAGCCAGTTATTATCATGGTTCTGAACTGTCACAGATTTAACTTAAAAAATGTGGAAATTATTTAACACAGGATATGTTTTGCAATTTGGAAATGATTACTGTTTAGGCTCCATCTCCCACGGTTACGACTTAGTGTAGCCGGTCGTGGCTACGGGTTCTTGTCCAACAACAATCAACACCTTCTTTCTTTCAATATAGTTTATTCCCTGGTCGAAAGACCCTAAAACAGCAATTAATAACAATAAATGTTAACCTTTCCTACCCTAGACATTTACATAATAGAACAGGCTAGCTTGTGCTAGCGTAACAAATTAACACACTTGATAACTTTACGCTTCGCTATATAATTATTACTAAATTAAAATACTGAACAACACAGTCGCAATCATCTGGGATACAATACACATGTGCGTAACACTTGTGATAAGTTATACAAAACCTACATCTGTAAATACAACAGATATATATATATATGAATTACCAGCGACTGATGTGATTTACAATTACACTTACAAATCTATCACATCAGTTATATCAAATAAACAGGATCACAAAATATGACCTACCTCTTCAAATGGAAGAGGGTCTTTGATCCAAGGGAGACAACCTGTACAGCCTATGTGGACTTCAGGGTTATTCAAAATACTACAAATAAAGACATTTATAGTGGTTACTACAAACTGTTCGATCAAAATCATCGTTATCAACCTATACAAAGACTTGGAACAAAATGCCTGAAAATTCAATTAATTTACTGAATCTGTTTTACATGTTACAAATGTACATTTCCAATGTATACGGTTTATACATATATAAAAACCATAGAAAATACAATGTTCTCACAATTATTGTGGTCTGTAGCCAAAAACATCAAAACAATGTAAGTTTAGAATTCCGTCCACTTAGGCTGAAAACTTGTACAGGTGTGAATAACATTTAACACAATTAATCGCGACTCGCTGCGCAGCCACGCACTGGCCACTACAAAGAGTTTTAAAAACACACTAACCCCTGACCCCAGTCAGACAGGTGTACATATAAACTAAAAATAGATCACTGTCATATATATATAAATATGACAAGCGCTCCTATACAAGTTGCACTTATTAAGTTTTGATAAAAACAACTAAATAACATGAACAATACATTGTCAATAATGACACTGTTACATTAGAATAACAAGATGGCAGAATTGCCGTTTAAAATTACAGAAATTCAACAATGAAAGAGTAATTAGAGTTCATTTGACAGATATTATTTATTCGTGTCATATTCATTATTACATTGATCATCAAATTTTCACTATTACGAATAGGCTGCCGAAATTATCAACTTGGCAGATATCATAATGATATTTTTGTGTCATATTATTACATGGATCAAATTTTCATTATCACGTATGTGAATGAGCAGAAGTTTGCAAAAATGTCATCCATGTGATAATAATTGGCTATGGGGTATATTATAATGTTTTTTGTCGTCCTTATTATGATGTTAGCCATGCTTATTCGTACTGTTATATAGCATCACATGAAAACCCATTTTTTATAAAACAAAATAATCTATTTCTATATATATTTGTCCCACTATTTCTATTGTATAATGCCTTTCATTATGTTGTTTTTATCACATTTATACATTGCTTTTCTATGCATATTTCATCCCAGTGTTCCGTATCATTACATCTGTGCTATTATTTCCCGAGGAATACTAGTACAATGTGTATCTTTTTATTTCGTGTTTGGCATATATAATCCAAGGAAGTTTATTGTGATTCCAAATTAAATTTTGGTTTTACAATTTGGTCTCTTTCAAGTCCAAACTCACATAAACTTAAAAGGGACATCCTGTGGTCAAATGATCTATTTACTGCAGGGTGTGTGTAATAACCAGAACAGGTGTGTCTGAATCAAATTAATGCTTTTTGGAGTAATTTTGATACATGAAAAGGGAAAGATAAATTGAGCAAATGTGGAATGAGGGAGATCTGTCAGATCTCCCTCATTTTCATACTTGCCAACTCTTCCTATTTAGAAGGGAGACTTCCGATTTTGGACCCTTAAATTTAGCATTTTCAAACAGTGAATTTGCTAAACTATTCTTATTTTCTAAGATCTGTTGGATTCATCTGAAAGAACAGCTCCAAAGATGCCATTAAACGTGTTATTTTTTCCCCACAGTGTATATATATACACTAATTTTATTTATACTTTTAGTTGGCAACTATGCATTTGAGGTTTCAGAGGTTGACACCTTAGTCAGCTCTTTTGACTGTATACGCTGTATAGACACTAATTTTAGTTGGAAATTTAAAAGAGTTTTTGTTTAGATTATAATTATGTATATAAATGTACCTAAATTACCGGTGCTGTGTGGAAGTCATACATTTATTACCATGCCAGACAAGTTAACACTTCACAACCCGGTCCTGAAATTAGTAATCTAGGATTACATCAGCTATACAAAATGTACCTTACTATCCCTTTTCTTATAAAATTGCACATATTTTTGCATAATATGTTATATTTTCTACCATTTTTCAGTGAACCTCGTATATGTATACACGTTTTCACTAAATCATATATATATGTACAGTATTAGCGTAGATTAGTTGTTGTCTATATACTTGCATTTTCTATATGTACCTGGTAATCAGTGCTCTTCATTGTATGAATATTTATTTATGTTGACATGTGTAAAACAGAGAAAGCTGATTTCTTTTGTAAAAAGATTATATCTTACATCCATAAAATGTCATTCCGAGCAGGGCTGTCACACTTACCTTGTTTAATTAAGTTGATTCTCAATGTCGAACATTCTTGTCATCTACTTTAGTGGTTCCTTCCTCAAGTCATTTCCTTCAGCGATCCCCTAAAGTCGTTTACTTCAATGATCCCCTACCAAAGTCATCCTATGACGTTCAGATCCTCAAGTCATCTAAATGTTCCTCAGCAGTTCCCTGCTCGTGACATGATAGTACTCAGATTGTTGTGCTGAAGTCCACCCTTATACAATACTAGGGTTATCAGGGATTTTACCCTTCATATTCGATACTTAAAATGTCGGGTCGGTGCTTGTACAACAGTTTTCAGGTAGAGAATTATACTTTCCACCCTCCATATATGACACAAGCATTGGTGCCCGTACAACAGTTTAAGCGAGAGAGCTATGTTTTCCACCCTTATAAGACCATAGGGTCGGTGCCTGTACAATAGTTTAAGCGAGAGAGCTATGTTTTCCACCCTTATAAGACCATAGGGTCGGTGCCTGCATGTACAATAATTTAAACGAGAGAGCTATGTTTTCCACCCTTATAAGACCATACGGTCGGTGCCTGTACAATAGTTTAAGCGAGAGAGTTCTGTTTTCCACCCTTATAAGACCATAGGGTCGGTGCCTGTACAACAGTTTAAGCGTGAGAATTCTGTTTTCCACCCTTATAAGACGATAGGGTCGGTGCCTGTACAATAGTTTAAGCGAGAGAGTTCTGTTTTCCACCCTTATAAGACCATAGGGTCTGTGCCTGTACAACAGTTTAAGCGAGAGATTTTAAGGCCTTATTTATGACATTGTGTAAGTGGTGAAGTTGTGTGTGATGTTTTATATCGTGGAATACTTGTAACATGTTTCAAACATGCTGGTTTTAATGTCTTTTCTCAGATAGGTTTACATATTATTATGAGTACTTTATGTGAGTGGGTATTTTTAAGTATGCTTGTGTAACTATAGTTACAAATGAATGTTGAATAAATAAGTTGTACAGGTATATCATTATTGTTTTAAATGTCTTGTTAAATCGCTTAAAACCTAATTGATCTGGTGTCGAATAATCTGTAAAATGTGCTTTCACTTCAGTTATGTACAGAAAGTGATGTATAATGTCTTTTAAAATGAAAAATATCTAGTTTCATTCAATCTTGATTTTTTATTCCGGAATATTTTTTTCTCACTCCAGAAACAGCAATGTCTTGATTAAAGACATTGCCTTATAAACCAATGTCTTTATCATGTATAGGAAAACAAACTTATAGTAATGATGCAATCAGTCTCAAATAATGATTTATAACAGAAGTTATTGCTTTGAATGTATGTGAATGATATCCTATAAATTGTTAGTTAAATTAATCTTTATGATGGTTTATCACAGGAAGCTCTCTCCAAATGGTTTATTCAATTAAAATTAAGGGGACCACCAATTCAAACTAAATTACTACCTATGTCACTATTGTAAAATATTCATTTAAGACCATTTCAAAAGAAAAATTTCATAGAAATCACATGTTGCTATGCATTTGACAGAATAGTTGTTTGAATTTGAATGCTCAAAATATAAATGAAAAAAAAAGGAACTGAAGGGTCAAACTGCGAACCTTTACATCACAAAGTCTACTCTTAACCAATATTTCCATACAGGATCTATACAAGCTTATATCATCATGAATGATTATATTCGGCAGATATTTAGTTTCTCAAATTCCAAAGCTAAATAGTCAATGTTTTGTTATTTTGTGTATGCCAATGGGTTTGATTCTAAAAAGAAAGGTTGTTAGGGACGTGGTCTGTTGATGGATTCTTTCATTTAAAAATCCCCCTGATTCTATTAAGTTCCTCAGAACCTTCCATTACATTTTGACTGTGACTCGTTCCAGGCGTATATTTTGACTGACTCGTTCCAGGCGTATATTTTGACTGACTCGTTCCAGGCATATATTTTGACTGACTAGTTCCAGGCATATATTTTGACTGACTAGTTCCAGGCGTATATTTTGACTGACTCGTTCCAGGCGTATATTTTGACTGACTAGTTCCAGGCATATATTTTGACTGACTCGTTCCAGGCATATATTTTGACTGACTAGTTCCAGGCGTATATTTTGACTGACTCGTTCCAGGCATATATTTTGACTGACTAGTTCCAGGCGTATATTTTGGCTGACTCATTCCAGGCGTATATTTTGACTGACTCGTTCCAGGCGTATATTTTACCGTGAGAGGATTGTAGTATTCCTAAAGCTTCTTTCGACGTGTCACATTTCTTGACCTTTTCCCAACTCAAATATGAAAATGTAGAGAAAGTTCATATGGAGACTGTTTCCTGGGAATGTATTTAGCGCATGGAATGAAAACACAAATACTGTGAAAATGATCTTTAAAGGTAAAAATGAGTGTTTTGTTTCTCTCCTGAATGTTACCACTTACTTAAAACTTCAGTATGGTCTCAGGTCTTATGATTGAATCACGTGTCTTGTTATTGATGACTGTTTTCACTGCCAAATCATCTGTGTAGTCAAATCACATGTGGTCTTAGATCACATTCTCATTGTAATATATAAAGTTTGATATACACCATTAGAGCTAGCTTTTAATTTTAACTTCTGCATCATCTTAGGTAGCAGTATACAGTAGAGGGTTGTGGCCATGGGTGATATTTTTGTTAAATGGCTAACCCCTGTATAATGATATGTAAAAAAAAATATAAAAATAAAACTGTACTAAAATTGGTATAAGCATGATGAAGTGGGCTATGTGAGCTTCACATTTGTAAAAAAAGAAAGATTTCTTTGGTTCGAGAATAAAATTTTGGCCATAATCCGAAAGGGTGCATACACATGAAAAGCTAGCTTTACAGGAGGTAAAATTTTGACAACAGCACACGACGCAAAATTGCAAAAAATCAAGTTTTACAACTTTACTGGGACCCAGATAATTCTGCAACCAGGTAGGTAATCTTTAATTTCAGACAGAGCTTAGGAAAAAAATNGCAGTTTACAAATATATATACATGTATACATGTGTTGTGTAGGGTAAATCTGCTGTGTTTACATTTCCTCGACATGTGCCTTGTTTATCAGAGTCGGGCCATTTCTACTGTACACTGCTACCTTAGGTGTTGATAATACATTGTACTTGTTGATTTCGTTGTTATTATGGATATAAGCATGTTTGAAATAGGTTCTTCATACACTCGTTGAAAAACATACTTGGCATATCAAATATTTGATGCAAGAATTTCTGGGAAGGAAATTTTTGATTAAGTGCAAACGTTTTATATTAATAAAAACAAATATTTTTCATCTTAGCAAAACTTTGTATTAATTTGAAAACTATTTATGTGGTTAGTCAATTGATTCATTATTCTAGAAATTCACCTACATGTAAATATCATTATAGGTCAATTTTTCAGTTTAGAATGTTACTTTATAAATTAAAAAGGAAATAAACATTTGGCAACTAGATAATTCATTTTGGTTTACATCATAAACGGCATTGTTAATAGCAAAGAAAACTGATAAAAGTTATTATCTGTGATAACTTTTGACAAAAACAACTTGAAAATAAATATAAAACATTTCAAAAGTTTCCCAGGGCCAGTGAATAAATATAGATTTATTTTTTATCCTTTGACAATTTCTGGTTTCTCCGAATCTGCTAAATATGTGTATTTGCCAGTTGTTTTAACATTATGTTAAGTTTTTTAAATAGTTTATTTGTAATGGTTTAATATTAGTAACATTAAGGTCTGTGTAGGGCCATAAACATCTGTTATAGCTATAAACATTATTACGTTATAGGTCAGATATGTTAAAGGTGGGATTATCATAAAATATTACAACGAAATCCAGGAATCATTTACCCAGTAGAATATGATTAATCAACTATCTGGTTACTTCTTCAGCATAAAAGATTTGTAAAATGAGTTATCTTGGTTAAAGCGTTTGCTTGCCGCTTGGTCCGAGCGACAACAAAATCATAAAATAGAAAATTTGAATTATGATTCAAGGTAGACCATTATTCTTTTGTAAAATAATTAGATAAACTTCTGTCATTGTATGTATCAGTACTAGCCGAGACTTACGCATGTGCATACGAGTGTGCTGCCAAGGTTCT